CGAGCCAAAGTCCTGTACATGCAATAAAAACACTTTACTGCGACAGCAAACAGAAGACAATACATTTTAACAGCAAAAATAAGGCAGGGAAAGTCAGGAGTCGTGCTCCGCTCTGACTAGAAGGCCAGGGAGAAGAAGTGTGTTTTAAGAGTAGATTTAAAAACCCCTAGGGTCTGGGCCGACCTCACATGGAGGGGCAGAGTGTTCCAGAGCCTGGGGCCAGCTGCTGCGAAGGCTCGGTGCCCTCTGGTTTTGAGCCTGGTCTGGGGCACTATCAGCAGCAGCTGGTCAGCAGACCTTAAAGCTCTGGCTGGGGTGTAGCGCTGGAGGAGTTCAGCTATATAGGCCGGAGCCAGCCCATTTAGGGCTTTAAAAACAAATAAAAGGATTTTAAAATCAATTCTGAACCGGATTGGAAGCCAGTGCAGTGAGGCCAGAATTGGGGTGATGTGGTCACGCTTTTTGTGGCCAGTCACGAAGACGTGCAGCTGCGTTTTGGACTAGCTGCAGGCGTTTCATTGAGGCCTGGTCCATGCTCACGTAAATAGCGTTGCAGTAATCCAGTCTTGAGGTTACGAAGGCATTAATAACCCTTTCTAAGTCTTTAAAAGATAAATACGACTTGCCAATAGTCGTACAACAGACAAGACACAATTGGAAACTTCAATCCCACTCAGAGACAAGGTTGTCAATCTTAAAGGCCACACACACTACGGTGAAAATGTGTAGTGTTACTGAAAGCCCTCCTGCCACGTTCCTTATTAGCAGCACGAAGAAGAGTAAAAATCAGGCTGCAGGCGGCTCATTATAACTCGTCCAGAGAGCTTTTAACATATTCAAAATATATCCACCAGAAGAGCCAGAGTGCAGTCAGATTCATAAAAAAACACAAACACACTTCCTCCAGTCAATCCCTTCATAAAAGCCACATATATTTTAAATCTCACAAACATGAAGGACCGTAGTACTGTATCTGCTCCACAAACCCACACTACCCACTTTCCATGTCCATTTTTTCCCACCACCACTTCATCTAAGTGAAGTTCTTTCACCAACAGAGCTAGGTTGATGTGTTAAGTGGCCAGCTATGTTTGACAGCTGTGTCAAAAATAGCTGCTCCTTCTATCTTTGCTTCAAAAAGCCTGCACATCAAAATCTGGTCCTCAGCTGCCGACAAAGTCTAATGACGAAATGTCACGTCTTCTGTCAACTAGTCACAGACAGGCCCCCAAACAGAGAATATAATGGAGGAACTTTGTTGTCATGGTATTTCAGGAATGTGATGTTGCAGTCCACAATAGAAACAATCTGAACATTGCTGTCTTGCTTGACAGTTGGGGGTGGTGGACTTAAAGAAATGCCTTGTCAGACCAAGCAATTAGGAATGTCAGGAACAAAGACAGGATAATAATTAGTCTCAGATTTAATTTGAGGCTAAAAGCTTTCATGACACTAATAGCAGTACCGTGGTCAGTCATGCAATACGTTCTGTTGTAATGTGGCCAATAGTGCAGCCCTAATTCCAAAGCTTCAATCATCCCGTGGTTTCAGAAACCCAACAAGAGAACGACACAAATGGCATGAGACACAGAGAGAGCGAAACACGTACATAAATGTTGATTTATGCGAGTGAGGGATCCACTTCTTTGAATAGCCAGAAACAAATGGTTCTGATCTTTAAAAGTTAGGAACTAATCTCAGCGCAGACATGTTCAAACTTAATAAACATACAATATTTTGAAGTATTCTAGATCCAAAGTTACGTGATGGATGTGTTGAGATCTAGAGCTCAGCAGGGAATACATTATGACTTGTCACTTGTGGAGGTGCAGATGCTGAAGAAAAGTATAATTAGCCCTTTTGCAGTGAACTGCCAATTGTGTGGAGAGACAAAAATGCACCCGCTGACTAAAGTAAGTCTTACGGCCCGTCCACACTACAGCTTCAAAAAAAGCTTGCCGGCGGGCGTGTCTGAAGCTCGACCAACAACCAATTACATGAATCTCCCGCCCCTGACACACAAGCAGCGGTTTGATTGGCTAGAGCTTGTACTGGCATATGATTTGATTGGCTGACGCTTCCACCGAAAGCTTCAGAAGCTTCAAAAGTTGAACATTGCTCAACGTTTGCAGCCTGAAACGCCAGGAAAGCTCCGCTCTGCTACCCACAATTCAGTTCGGCGAAAAGCGAGGCAACGGGACGTCACCCCATTCAAAGTGAATGGGCAGACGCGTTGGAAACCGTTTTTGAAGCTGTCGAAGCTGTAGTGTGGACGGGCCGTTACAGAAATGGCAAACAGAGCATCTGTAAGGAGAAATGTGGTGCTTTCAAAAATAATCTGTGCTCAGTTTCAAAATATACAAATCAATACAACAATCTAACGCAAATTGGACTATGGGGTCTAACTACATAACTTGTTTTCAATGCTCTTAAAAGTGTGGTGAAGATGCTTGCTGTAAATAACGAATAAATAAACACTATGTGGAAGCATTATGACTTCAATTTTGTTTAAGATCAGTAAACTTGTAAAGTAGTGGCAGTTATGTCATTTTTGTGAGAGGGTAGTCCTAAGCAAAACAAATTTGTTTTTTTAACAATAAGAGCTTGGAGACTCTGGGGTTCCCGTACCTACACAGCCCTGTACACGTGCTATTTTAAAACCATGCTTTCATGTGTATGATACACCGGTTAAAACCCAACAATTCAAATGTGATGTGTTCTTCTTACCCAGGTTGCTGTATGTGGCGCTGCATTGGCTGGAGGCGGGGGAGTGATTCCCGTCGTCCTCGGGCTCTCCGAGGCTGGCACTGCCCTCGCTGGCTGAGGCTGCCGTGGAGACCTGGTTGGCCGGACCCTCCTCTCCCTCCCCGAGCAGCAGCCCCAGATTCACTTTGGCAGGCAGGGAGGCGCCTGGCCCCCCCCCATCCCTGGCAGCGCTGCCACTGACTGGTACCTGGCTGCAGATGAGAGAGACAGGAATGGCTCATTTGGTTATAATGAACAGCTGGATTAAACTAGTATTGCTTTCCTTCTTACCATGTTCGTGATCTATGATATTTTCCTGGGCTGCACAATTATCTGAAATGTCGATATATTATATATATATCGAATAAGCAATAATGACTTAAAGGTCCCCTATTATACTGTTTTTCATCAATATATTATAGGTCTCAGATATATACAAAACATGTCTCTGAAGTGTTTGGCTCCAAACACCAAACAGATCATTGCAGCATTACCCATAATCCCCTCTGTTTCAGCCCTGTTTCCAAAGTGCTGATTCTCTGTCTGTTACTTTAGATGAAAATAAGGAGCCCCTCCCCACGCCCCTCTGAGAGAGATTTGGTTAAAAAGAACACAATGTTACTCTAGAGGAGA